TTTAGTTCAGGATTCAAAATCAGACTAACGTGCAACTTGGAGGTTAAGACATGTACAATTGCATACTACTATCTTCTGCTTTACTTTCATATACATTGCTTGTGTGTGGTAGTTGCTTGTAGTGAGTAGCTCTCTAGCGTAGTTGTAGCTTAGTTAGTAATAATAGCTAGTTTAGTTGTTTCACTAGTTTAGCTCACTAGAGTAGTGCTAGTCGATCTCTTGATTGGTTGTGTGTGATAGTAGTAGTGATCACCTCGCTACTAAATTGAATAGGAGGCTTGCTTGTAGGTGAAATAGAGCTGGAGAAAGTAGTTGCTTCTAGGAGCTCATATTTGTCTAACCACTTTGCTCTAGTCACTACCCCAGCCAACTTCTTCCCCGTCGGCGTCCAGCACTCCTCTCGGTTGGCAACCTCCGTCACGAGCGCGTCCATCTTCCCCTGCGTTGCCAAAGCATACCGACGGGAGAAATTTTAACACCGTCATCACGGACACAACCCAGCGCCCCAAACAAGCTTCGAGGAGTCGTGGCGCTCAATCCCTGTCTGCCCCATATATAGAGAAGGGCCGAAAAAAGAGGGCGCGGACTACTCAGGTGCCAAGGGCGCGAGATGAAACAAATTTCGCGAACCTTATCCTCTCCTTCGCCCGAGAGGCCGCGACTTCTCTCGTTGGTCCAAATCTGTTCGTCACTGCACGCTACCTCCGTCCTCGCAAAATCGTCGGTTGCCTTTTCGTTCCTCACCGCCTGGTGCCGGCGTGGCGACCTCCACCACCGATGGCTTAATCCCAGCCACCAGCCACAAGCGCCCCAATTCCCAACTCCTTGGCCGCCGCCCGCACTCCTTTGGTCGCCGCCGCCGCCAAAATCGCCGCTCTCGCTTCTCGATGCTGCCACCAGGACCGTTGCGCCGCTGCTGGTAATTACAGCAGTAAGTTGGCAACCCTGCCTCTCCTCTCCCTACCAAATCACCCCCGTCTCTCTCTCCAAATTATACACTAAAAGAAGCTTCTAGATCTGCATGCCATGAGCGTTTAGGGTAGTGGTGCTCGGTCTTGTTTGCTTCCCTTTTCTTTCTCATCAAAATTTCAGTCCGTATCTTCTTCTTGCAGGTAGATTCCATCAAGAGAGCAGATGATTTGAGTGGTCGGCCCAACATTTAATTTGTTCTTACTGGCTGGCTACCTCGATTCCTATTGGCTGCACATGGCTAGATCTATCCAGAAGAGCATGCTCCTTGTAGACGCAGTCCTTTGAGCAGGTATGGGAGTGCTTTGCCCTGCCCTCATAATCCCTCATTTGTCTGGCGTAGGGCATAACTTCATAATCCTAATAATCCTGCTACAATTTCAAAAAAAAAATCCTGCACATGGCAAGATGATGGTTCTGCAACATTGACGGTCTCAAGGAAATTTCTTGTTTTTTGTATGGTGAAATTTTATTTTTTATTTTTGTTCTGAATCAAATTGTGTTGTTTAATTTACACCAGTTGGGAGAGGGGAAATATTGTCAGATAATTTCTTGAGCATTCACCATAACGTGTGTGCAAGCTTCCATCCTGCAGTCCTCAAATCTTAAACATTGTGTTGGTTAGTTATCTCTCCGTTTTTTTTTGCTGTACTCTATGGCCATTCCATCTGGTTCAGATTGCAGACTGGATGATATAGTACACAGCAGGGAAGTATTAAGGCTTTACTTCATAATACTGATTTTCCATGTTAACTATGCATTACTATTATGGTTCTGAAAAAAAATTGTTCACTGATTTGCATCTGAAAATATTAGTTCCATACTTTGTACGATGCAGTAAAAAGAATTTAGTAGTTTAGTGTTTTATTGGGACTGGTTTAATGTTTCACACAACACTTCACATTAGTGTCAGTTTTATAATAGGACTGCTATCATGGTGTTTAACTATTTTAGTGTCTTTAGGACCATTTTAGTGTTTTGCACAACACTACAGATAGGCTTCAGGAATATGCTTATTTCAAGTTCCATACTAATCTGGGTTCAAAAACTTATTTTTGGGTTACATTTCTTGTTAAGTATGCACAACTGTTATCGTCTGTATTATATTTGTATTTGAATTGGAATAAAAAAGATTCTACTTCTATACTTCACCAAAGTACTTAATGAGGATTTAAGCTTCAGTGATTGATGCAGTCCTTCAATCATCGAGCAGATAAGCGAGCGGGGCAAGTGATGTCTCCAACAGTGTTGAGATGAGAGTCAGGTGCCCAAAGAAAAGATGAAGACTATTATGTGGTAACTGGTGAGTGCTGCACGTCTAGTTGGATTCTTTTAGCTGCATGCGGTTGGTCCTTCCTGTCAATAGGTTCTGCATGTTTCCAGAAATTTATCTTCCCTGATGTCCTAATAGGAATCATATAAGAAACATTAAGTGTCCCAGATTTATTTTGCATGACTCTGATGTTTTTATCTCATATATCTTGCTTGAAAGTTGGATACCAATATTCATTTTTACCATGTGCGGCAGACATTTTTACCCAAGGTAAATCGTGTGCACTAGTTGTAGAGGGGAAATCATGGTCTGATGTTTGATTGAACTTGCTTCGTCAACTTAACTCTGTTCCAGTGCTAGGGAATTAATCTATTCTATGCTTGTTACAATTAATCTGTCTGGTATGCCAGTAGAGACTGTTATCATGCATATATGGAAGCAGAAATCATGTTTTTTTAATTGTTACATTTTTTTGGCACTGATCCTACTAGAAGGCAACTAGTGCCAAGCTGTTATTATTTAAAATGAGCAGCTTTCTGAAGTACTTATGGGGATTAAATCTGAACCTATATCTTGGGATTCTTCTACTCATGTTCTGTGGTGGTTGCGGTCTGCAATTTGTATTTGCCTTCTGGTTATATTTGTTGTGACATGAGTTGTAAATTTAGGGCAAGTAGGCTAATATAATTGGTTGTTGGTGTTGCTAATTTTTGCCTGTAGAACTGAGTTACCATTTGGTGGTGCCTTATGGAAAGCTTGAGATGGAGATACCAGCTGATGTGCTTGAGCAGGAACAAGACGAGATGGTAAGCACTTGCTGACATGAATGAATGAATTAGTAAAGTTTCATGCTTGGCTCAGTTTTAGCATAACTAATCATTCAAATACATGCGACACTAACAACTAGCATTATATGTCAGCAGTTGTACAGAATGTGGGAAAGGGGAAGCATTGTCTTTACTTATATTTGCTTGAGCTCCAACTGTCAAACTCAGATTTGTACTGAATGCCATATAGAGTGATCAGATTTTTTTTTAAGAGTGATCGGATTGCCAAAACAATGAATTTGGAGATTATTGTAGTGCTTATTTATTCTGTACAGCATAGATGAACCCCAATATAGTATCACTTTGCTTGGTTCTTTGACTGATGGTTTATTCGTGGAAGTAAATAATCAAATTTGCTTTAGTTACTATATTCCTGGTTTTATAGATATAGCGGGTTAGTTCTTGCTTTCTCAGCTTCATTGTCATCCTTTGTGGCCCTCCCTGCTAGTAGTGCTCTCTATGGTCACTCTTTTAATTCAGAGACGTTGGACAAGCAATCAGCTATATTGTTTTACTATATATTCAACAAGATTTCTCATGAATCGTTATATTTTTCTTGTTTTGGCTGTAGGATATGGGGATAAATGGATGTGTAGCAGCTACTGTGTATTGCTGTCAAAGGGCTTGTAGGAAGTAGTAATTACTAAACTTCTATCTATTTCCTATATGTTAGTTGCATGAACTATAGCACTGTAACTTGGGTATGCGTTATTTTGTGAGGCCTTTAGAATGTAGCTTGAGATTTGTTGACCATTGAGCTATATAATGTATGAACAACTTGGATGATGATTATATGTATGACACTTGAGTGTAACATTTAATTCTCGCTGGTGTGTGGTTAAAAGGATTAGCTATAATTTAAATAGTTCAGTTAGTGTTTATCCACATTAAAATATGTCAGTGAGCTTTTATTCATAATAAAATGAAGCATCCCTGACGGCTAGTCACAGACAGAGAAAGACTTAACCATCCCCGACGGTACTGTAACGGACGGGGAAAATTTAGATCTTCCCTAACGGTACTGTAACCGACGGGGAAAGTTCGAACCTTTCCTGACGGCGAGGAACTGACAGGAAACATGTTTGCTGACGGAGGAGGAAAAACCGACAGGGTAAGTCTCTCATGACGGTAGCAACAGTCAGGAATCATTCCGTGATGGTTTTCCGTCAGGGAAAGTAGGCTTTCCCTGTCAGTCTATCCCTGACGGATTATCCCTGACGGCAACCGTCACGAATGATCATCCCTGACGGTTTTTGACACTTCTCCTGACGGAACTGGCCGTCACGAAAAAACTTGGCTGGGGTAGTGAGTGTTTAGGAGTTTGCTGAGAATTTTTTTCTAGGATATTCATCCCCCTCTAGCGATCTAGATCAGATAGGGAGAGGAAAAGCATTGATCGAGGTAGGGCAGAACAGAGAGATGTGTGACAATGTTTAGAGAGGGAAGTAACGAGCTCGGGCTACCTCTGTTAAATACTCTAAGGTCGATAGCGGGCCAAGATGGATGGATCGTAGTTACGGCAACGGGCGAAGCCTCAATTAATAGGGGCCAGCCTCTTCAGAGGTAGTCTGCTTAAAAGACCTGCCTCTTTAATTTTTAAAAATTGTAATTTATTGGATGTCTATGTAAATGCGACAAAAAAAATGATATATATGTTTTTGTTGACAGGCATATTCGTCTGTGAATCAAAGGAGCTATATATCTCCTAAAATAGTTTTTTAGCCGTGGCAAGAAAGATGTTAACTAGCGATGACTTCGTCACCAACATGCATGTTCAGCACGAGGGACAAATAAATGGACAGAGGCAAATACACAGGATGGTATAGTCACATACACACACGGTAATAGATTGCACGTCAAGAAACACGTGCATGGATCCTTTGTTAAGAATGGAGTTTGCATGCATGCATGCCTGCTTTCTAGCTACAGAGTCATGTGGGGCTGGCCAGGTAGCCGTACTGGCCGTCGGCGGCGGCGCCGGTGGCGGTGGCGGTCCTGGGCGAGGCCGGCTCGAACCCGAGCATCCGGGCGCGCTCCACGTACGCACGCTTCACGTTGGGCCGCTGGTATGTCAGCAGCCGCGCCACGCTGCGGCTCGCGTCGTGGCGGAACGGCCGCCCGGAGCCGGCGAACCCGTCCAGAAGGTGTAGGTACGCCTCCAGGTCGTGGCAGCACGCTGGCCCCGCGTCGGGGCGCAGGCACGGCGAGTCGCTGTTGTGCAGTCTCAGCTCAGCTCCACCCGTGTGCACATACCCTTCCGAGGCAATCGGCGCCGGCACGCGAGTCACCACGTCGCCCGCGTTCACCACCCGCAGGACGTTCACGCCGCGCTCGCGCTGCAGCCGCTCCGCGAACGCGCGGTTTCCGGTCTTGGGGCCACCGAAGGAGACCACGGCGATCGGCGGCGGCGGCCGGTGATCCGTGGTGCCGTCTGTGTCAGCAGCCAGGCAAGCGCTAAGCTCGTCGGCAGCGAGGAGGGCCAGCGACGCGCCAAGGCTGTGTCCGACGATTGTGATGCTGAGCTCCTCGCCCTTGTACACCTCCATGAGACGCTTCACCTCGTCCACTATGTCGGCCGAGAGGCTGGGCACGTGGTCTCCTGGCGTCTTGTATAGGCTCAGGAACCCCTTTGCCACCTTGGGCGCGGACGACGCGTCGTCGTCCGCCGTGAGCGGCACGAGGCTGGCGCGGAGATTCTCGGCCCACTCAGGGCACGTGGCGGTGCCACGTAGCACGATGGCTATGTCGCGGCGGCCCATGCGACGGACCTCCCGCTCGCTGTCACAGACGGCGACGTAGCCGACGAAGCTGGTGCGCTGCGTGAGCCAGTTGGGCGCCGACCGCCGCTGCGCCCACGGCGGGATGGACAGCGATGACGAGGCGAAGAGGCTGCGCGTGGGGCGGTACGAGCGGTCCGGGAGCACGAGTGTGTGGTGGTGGTCGTTGGACGCGGCCTCCGCCGCCGACGGCATGGAGTGGAACGCCGTGTAGGCGGCCTGCACGAAGTCGCCGTAGCGGAGGAGCTCGCGGCGCAGGTTGTGGTCGAGCGGGTCGAGGAGGCCCTCCCACCCGCCCTCGCCGTGGTACCTCCGCCACTCGGCCGCGATGGAGCCCTTGGGTGACAGCCGCGGGGAGAGCGTGAGGAGGCGCTGCATGTACGCCAGGCTGCGCGGGGACATCTCGTCCACGGCTGCCTTCCGCGTGAAGGGCAGGAACGTGGACAGGTTCAGCGCGTTGAGGAGCCCGCCGTGGCCGCTGCGGTCGTCGGGGGTGGCCTCCCCGTCGCGTGGCACCTCGGTTACTGGCAGTTTCCTGTGCTGCGGCGGCAGCGGGAGCGGGAGCGGTGGCGACTTGACGAGGAGGCGGTCGAGGTTGGCGAGGTGCCTCCTTGTCGTGGAGACCGCGTTGGGCTTGCCGTTGCTGCTCGGCGACGGCGTGGCCCTCGAGTTGGGGTTGAGAGGGGACGGCCGGCTGTGGCAGGGCGGCGCCGTCACCGCGGCGGACATGGGCTCGTCGTCGTCGTCGTGTGAGGAAACTAAGAGAAAGATCTGGAGAGAGCACAGGTACTAGTTGCCTGTTCCTGTGTCTGTGGGTGCAGCATGCTGGCGAAGTGCGCTGCCTTATAGGCAGCGCACAGCACACACGGCAGGGGAGAGGAGCAGCTCACCATCAAGGCATAAGCATGTGGATCATGTGCGCGAGTGTACTCGTCATGCTTTTGAAAATTTTGTGTCCTCCTCGGCTCCTTTTCAAAAGCTTGTTAAAAGAAGAAGATTTAAAGCAGTGCTAATATAATGGAGATCGATCTCTCACTAGTCACTACCTGTTCTGTACTACTGTGTGCTTTTATTAATCTTCCTCTAAATTTCTTTACAGAGAAGTCTAAGCAAAAGGTCGTCCGACACGTACAACTGACGTCTGAAGGTTTTTTTTTTGGTTGAACGTGGCACATATACCTGGGATAACTATACTGTGATTTGTTATGCTGAATTGCTGATGGCTCGGTGATTCCTAGTGAAATGATTTTGCTCCCACTTCACTCAAAGGCAGGCTAGGAGGAGGAGACTATCAATTCAGCTGCTAGTATAATGCGCATGCGCTTGACTACTCTTTGGGCCGTGTGACATGCCAGAGAGCTTTTAAATTTGTACGCGTGGACTTTCCACTTTGCATTGCGCAACACGTACGTAAGTGTGCATAAATGCAGATTCCGCGCCAAGATCAGCGCGCGCGACCGGCTAGACAGTGATACAGATGGCAAAAACGTGGTAACCGGCACTCGAACGAACGACGACAAGCACAATACTGTAGCTTCACATTCCTTTACCTATTCGCTTGATCGTTTCTGTGGCTTATAAGCTGGCTGATGCTGTTTTGTTGTGAGAGAAAAACATTGTATCATGACTCATAAGCATAGCTGATACGATCAAGCGAACATGGTGCATCAGGAATAAAAGGAGAAGCTAGCAGGTCTGTATCCCCTGTGCACGACGCTGCAATTGCACGATACCAGTTTCTGGTCAGTGCCTAAGTGCAAGATCGTTTATGTTGCAAGTTCGTTTGTTCATCGTAGTAAGAAAACGGAAAAGATCGTTTATGTTTCAAGTTTGTTTGTTTATCGTAGCAACTCACTACCAGAAAACGGAAAAGATCGTCTATGTTTCAAGTTCGTTTGTTCATCGTAATAACTCACTAGCAAAAGACAGGAAAAGATCGTTTATGTTGCAAGTTTGTTTGTTCATCATAATAACACACTACCATAGAACGGACGACATGGGCGGATTGTAGAGGTTGGGACCTTTTTCATTCACTTAATGAAATTTTCTCTTGTTCTAAAAAAACTAGAGCAAATTGGTTCCTTGGCCCTAAAAAAAGTCGAGCTTAGTTTCTTGGTCCTATTTCCGTTGAACTTTGTTATTTGGCTCTGAATCGAATTTTGTTTGGGAATTTGGCCCTTCCGTTAGTTTCACTGGTTGACGCTGTTAAAAGCAAGATGAAATGATCTTTTTACCCCTGGAGCGAAGTGAAACACTTCTACCATGTACAGTACAGTCGTACATGCATCTCAGGCTATATATTATCATTAATCTTCCAAAATAAGTAAAATACGTTTTGAAGCATGAAATTATTATTTAAAAGGGGTGCACAAAAATAAAAGGTGAAACTGCAAGCGCGGCAGTGCATGCACAAATATTGCCATAGCTTTCAGTCTCTCCATAACCATCGCGACACCACGCGTCCAAGCCTAACCCAACCCAATCATGCAACGGTGCTCATGCAGACACGGCAAGTCTGTACACATATATGGACACGACGGACACGATGATGAGGTCCAAGAAAAGCGTTTGATCGTCTCCGGCGATAGTCTCTCCATAACCATCGCGACACCACGCATTCAAGCCTGACCCAACCCAATCATGCAATGGTGCTCATGCAGACACGGCAAGTCCGGACACGATGATGAGGTCCATGAAAAGCGTTTGATCGTCTCCGGCGAGCCTAAGTGCGGCGGCGGGGCAGGGGTAGCGCCTGAACGTGGTGCCAACGATGACGATGTTGGGCATGTGGTGAAGGCACGGCTGGTCAGCATCACCCCCGGCCACATGCTGCTCAAGAAGAAGTCAATCGCACGCGCTCATGATGCAGTTCCGCTTGGTGAAGGCGCGGCTGGCCGGCGTCTCCCGCGCTTCAAGAGCTACTATACCTGGCCAACGGCGCCGCCGCCGGTGGCTCGTCGCCGACGTCGCTCGTGGGGACGTCACTCGCGGGGCTCACCTGCGGCGGGCAGCAGCTGGTGCCCTGCCGCGCGTGCCCTCGAGATACTGGTGGAGCTGGCGTCGCTGGACGCGGCTACAAGGCCACCAACTAGCGCCTGGAGAACACCATCGCTTACGGCCTACATCAAGGGCGAGCTGGACGAGCACGAGTGTGAGGAGTTCTTCCGACTCAAGAAGATCCGGGGGTCACTGTGGTCGTCGTCGGCGCCCTCCTCGTTGCCCTGGCTCGCGGCACTCTGCTGGGCCAGCCCCGCATCGCCCTCTTCAGCCTACCTAGCGGCAGCCAGGCCCGAGCGGACGACGTCCAACCCCGGTGCGCCCTCAGCCAGCCCCGCGGCGCCATGGGTCGCGCGGCCGGTGCCTAGGCCCGCGGCGCCCTGCCTCGCGCGGGGGGCGAACAGCCCCTACACCAGTCGGGCTGCCTTGCTGTGCCGCGGACGAGGTGGATCCGGCGCCGGCCAAGGTGGATCCACCGACGGAAGCTCGTCGGAGCCATCCATCTCTAGCGCCAATTTAGGGTTTGGGCGGAAGACGTGAAAACTAGTGACGCCTCCGACTGCGCTTCGACGAAGGGGTACGGGGAAGGAGAAGTCACGCGGCTCTGGTGGGTGACGAAGGGGTACGGGGATATTTAGGCTCTGTTGCAAGCTCGTTTGTTCATCATAATAACTCACTACCAGAAAACAGAATAGGTCGTTTATGTTGCAAATTCGTTTGTTCATCATGATAACTCACTACTAGAAAACGAAATATTCTCTAAAACAGTGCAAGATGATTTATATTGTGGCTAATGTCCTTTTCATGGGCTCCTAAGAATTGAACTGGTGACCAGAGACTTCAGCTAAAGTGTACTTACCACTACACCTCAAAATAACACGTGACTAAGTGAACGATTCTTTTCTTGTGTATTCACTTCAGTGAATCTTGTAATGAATATTATATTTGAGGTCGTAAACGATTTACAAAGGAAAAAAGTTTAAAATGAAAAGTTTTTAGGTCTCGTCAAATACTATAGATTTGGTTTAGATTGTATCTTCATCCAAGGTCATTTGGAAAATTAAAAAATGAATCTCAAAGCTCTAATAACTTAAAACATAATTTTTAGACTCTAAATGATTTCAACTGAAAATGTCATCAACTACAAAGTTGTAGATCTCTTCAAGCTTTACAACTTTGATATAAACTTTTTCTTCATCCAATATTTGTATGTTGCATGTTAGCTTTATAACAAACTAGACATCTTTAAGTTAGTGCCAATATGCATTCTCTGATAATAACTTAAAATTGTACCTTTTGTTGGATTAATGTACCAAGAAAAATTGTATTTCATTCCACAAACATGTTAAGGGAGCATTGTGTATCTATAAAATGCAATGTCTAACTAACATGCCTGCAATGAGTCCGTTATATTGGTGGTTAAGAGGAATGACTCCAAAATGAACAATTTTCTCTTAGTGGCTACAACAATTTATATGAGGGTTTTGCACCCAAGGAAACCAGCACTTTCTTGGCGGTTTCGAATTACACTCAAGAAAATATGAATTATCTTGGCAATTTCAAATAGCACTCAAAGGAATAGGAATTACCTTGGCGGTTTCTAATAGCACCCAAGTGAAAGCTCTAGTTTGGTTTTGGTGAATTTATGAAACCCTAAGTGCTAACCTATTTTCTCTAAGTGGTCATGAGATAGGGTAGCACATTCCAAGTGGTGGAGCAAATGGTGAAGATCATGATGGTGGTGATGGCCATGGTGATCAAGTGCTCGGGCTTGGAAAAGAAGAAAGAGAAAAACAAAAAGCTCAAGGCAAAGGTGATATCCATAGGAGCTTTTGTGTTTTGGTGATCGAGACACTTAGCGAGTGTGATCGCATTTAGGATAGATAGCCGTACTATTAAGAGGGGTGAAACTCCTATCGAAATGCGGTTATCAAACTGCCACCAGATGTTCTAACTCATTGCATATGCATTTAGATTCTAGTGAGTGCTAACACCCTTGAAACTATTTATGAAAATATGCTAACACACGTGCACAAGGTGATGCACTTGGTGGTTAGCACATTTGAGCAAGGGTGATGAAGTTTGGGGTCAAAAGGAGAAGTCTCGAAGTGATCGGACTCTGTCTTGGATAGTGACCGGACCCTGACCCCGTGTCCGGTCAGTGGTGCTCAGTTGAAAGGTCCTAATGGCTAGAGGGGGGTGAATATCCTATAAAAATTCTACAACAATACTTAAGCAAGGTGGTTAGATAAAAAGAGGCGAAGCAATTCTTGCGCTAGCCTACTAGAAATGCAAGCCACATATCACAATTCTAGTCACTATAGTCTCTAATTCACACAATAGGCTAGGTCACTACCGCTAAGTTAGTGAGCTCTCCAAGACTAACTGAAGAGCCTCACTAACCACTAGACCCGACATAAGCTAGCTCTCAAAACTAATTACACTAAAGAGCTTAGCAACACTAGGAAAGTAAATGCAAGGGTAAGGTAGTGAAGCTATACTGATGTGGCAAGCGATGATCAATCAATCAAATACAAGAGAACCAATGAAATCCTTGGGACAAGATGACACAATGATTTATCTCCGAGGTTCACTTGCTTGCCGGCAAGCTACGTCCTCGTTGTAGCGATTCTCCCACTTAGAGGTTCACGCGCTAATAGGCCGCATAACCAACACAAGATTGGGATCCACAAGCTACGAGCAATCCACTAGAGTACCTTTTGCCTCTCCGT